ATGACAGGTTTAGATATAAAAAATATTTTAAAATTGTATATTGCTATGTTCTCTCTTCCTTGGCCTTTCTTAGTGTTGAAGTGAATGCCTCATCATATTCTTGTTTCAGTTTTTTAAAAGTTTGTCTTTATTGTTGAAAATATTACAGATGTCCCCTTTGTTTTTTTCCCCCCCCATTGACCGCCTCTACCCTGCATCCTCCCTTCCCAAGCCCTCACTACACTAATGTCTGCGTCCAAGGGCTATGCATATATGCATATAATTTCCTCAGTTAATTCCTCCATTCCCATCTTGTCTCAGTTTTAACCTTCTTCATATGTTTATGATGAGATGAATTTATGAGATATTTATATTTCACTATTAGATTAGTTTCTTTAACTGATAAACAATACACAAATATATATATATTATAAATAGAATTGCTTGTAGGTTGGTTTCTGGAAATAGTTCTAACATTTTATTGTTAGACAAGTGTGTTGTATATGTTTTGTTTTCTATTTGTTAACAGAAAACATCTGTTAGCTTGGAGCTTTCCTTTGAGGAGATACTTCCAAATATTTTGGGCCAAATCAGCACTAACTCATGGTTTTAGAAAAAATAAAGTATAACCCCAAAGGCTATTCTTTATATATATTTTCATCACTTTGTACCTCTAGAACAAATTTTAAAAATGTATTTTTTATTGTTGGTAGTATAAAAGGTATCTCCTATGAAAATTTTCCCAGGGATTTTTTTATGATTAAGATTTACTTGCTAAAAAATAGAAAGAATGGTATTAAGGGTTTTGTTCACTTTTTAAAGCTGGATGTTAGAATGTGTTTTGAAATTTCATCTGAATGCAAATGGGCACAGCATTAAACAGTTCTTTAAAACATGAAAACCAAGACCCAGAACCCTAGAGAAAAAACATTCTTTCTAGAAGGTGGCAATTATGTGCAATAGTAGCAGTTCAAAGCAGATTATCCCAAAACACACACACACTCCCCCCCCCCCCCCCTTCTCTCTGTTTAACATTTGGGATGGTTATCTTGTTGCATTTTATCTGGGTGAGAGGTGGCCTGTACAGTTTCAAACATGTTCACCAAAGAATAAACAGCTATTTAAAAGCAAGGGCAGAGGCAGATAATAAATATAAGAAAAATGAAAAGAAAATTTTCCTATAAAAGTGGAGAGAAAGTGGTTTAGCTTTAACAGTTTTTACAAATCAGTGCTCTGTAATCTAGAGTTCAGCATTGTCACTAGACCATTTAACATGTCCCACTTTCAATATGATTATATTTACTAACCTTTCTCCTTTAAATTCAGAGACCTAACTCCCAAGGCACACTGGCCAGGTTCTCCTTGCTTCTCTCCTCCTCCCCTTTGCACTGTGTTGTAGTCCACTCTGTTTAACCAAGTATTATACAGGCTTATTCAGGAACACCCAGAAGAAAAATTCCCAAAGAGCTCTTGCCTTTTTTGACTCTAAAATCAATCAGTGCAGAGATGTTCCTATAGAACCAGTGTTACCAGTTATTATTGGATTCCTTCAATGCATATTTACTAAGCATCTTTTTTCTTTTTTTTTACCTTATTGTTTGCTAACTCATTGTCACTCTCTGCAGCAGCCTGAACCTACAGAAGAGAAGAAAGGGGATCACCATTCATTGAACATACTATATACTTAGCTTTTACTTAAACATTCATATGCAGTCCTCACAACCATAGGGGTAGGGTGATATATTATTCCTATTTTCAAGCTGCAGAATCTGAAAAATGACTTTCCCCAAATCACCCAGCTAAGAAGTGACAGGTCCAGGACTTAACATTAATCTGTCTGATGCCAAAGCCTAAGGTTTTCTACTAAACCCCAGGACTTGCCTGTCCTTGGCCTAATCCTATTTCAGGACTGCAAGAGTGCTTTTGCATTTGGACATAAGCAACAGCACTCAGATCTCATGTAAGCTTAGGTGTGCGCGTGCTTATTAAGATATCTTATTAATCAGTGAGTTTTTGATTTTCAGTGTGAGGGAGATATTGGATTCACGTGGTTTTATGAATCACTGTTTAGAAATAATTTTTCTCGATAAGAATAAAGTTATATACATTTTTAAATTGCTTTTTAGAAATCAATCCAAACATTAACTTAAAATTTCAGCATCTCATCTTGTCTTTGTATTAACTTGTTTTTGTTTAACTATTTCCCATTGAGATTACCAAGGAAATAGAAACTTTATTTTTTATTTATTTATTTTTTTAAATTTATTGACTTTTTACATAGAGGAGGAGAGAAGGCTAGAGATCTATAAATGTCGATGAGAGAGAAACATCAACCAGCTGCCTCTTGCACACCTCCTACCGGGGATGTGCCCGCAACCAATGTACATGCCCTTGACCAGAATCGAACCTGGGACCTTTCAGTCCACAGACCGACGCTCTACCACTGAGCCAAACCGGTTTCGGCGAAACTTTATTATTTAATATCGTTCCTGGTGTCTTGTTAACTGTTTGTTGAATAAATGACAACCGTAAGTGATAAACTTCTTGTAAGGGAGGATTCTTTCTTTGCCTTTAGTTTGGGCATCCCCCTTTTATGGCTCTCTCTTGTAGAATAGACACAGCCATTCACCACCTCACTCAAAGATTTTCTATCAGGACTTTCAGAGCAGGGAAGGGGAGGAGTCCGTATCTGTCTGCACTGTGGTGCTAATCTTTATGTAACTTCCAAAGTAAAAGTGCAGAGTAGGCAAAAGAAAGTGTGTGGTTCCTTTAGTAAAAATAATGCAATTTTTCTTTTAAAAATCATAATTTTAAAAATGGACATTCATATTTTTGTCCTTTGAAGTTAAGTTTTAATCAACTTAAGTTCTTTATTAAGTTTTTTATTAGTCATCTGATCAGCTCCCTTAAGATTGGGAGTCTGATGGATGTGAAAGTAGAGAGCTCTAGTGGGCTCAGGAAGAATTGGGAATCGTGCATGGGGTCTCTTGAAGTCACTGAGAGAAAGAGAAGAGTCAGACTTCTTAGTCTTTTTCACCCAATAATGTAGAGGTAGACAGGAAATTCTCTTCTTGGACGGATTAGAAATAGCCCCCTTATCAAGTATCAGGAAGTCACCACACGTCTCCTCTTGCAGTCTAACCATTCCAACCCCGGAGAGGCCAGCTTCCCTCTGCCCTGTGCCCCCAGATCTCTCAGAATTCAAAAGACAACTGAGTGATAAACGCCTCTGCCATTGCTTTATTTTAGTCTTTATTTTAAAGTGCTGAACCCACTGTGGAAATGCCCGTTGAAAATCATAAGCCCCTACAGGAGTAAAATGGTCTGAAATATGAAGGGATTTCACGTTAAACAATGTTGTGTTTACTGTTATAAGAACTTATAAAAGTTATATTGTAGCTTTCCCTGTTGGTTTCTCAATAACAGATAATATACACTGACAAAGAGGAAATAATAAAGCAGCATTTTAAACTGTAGAAAAATTTTTATATTTAACTTTGGTGTAGACGTTTTACCTTCTAATTTTTTTAGACTTACATTAAATGAAAATTTACTTGGGAGAAATAATCTTTAACATTAGAGGAAAATAGAGAATGGGAAAATAGAATTATATGGGTCATTCACTTGAGTGTGAGTCAAATTTCATTGCTTCTAAAGTACCAAAAAAGTGAATAAATTTTATTTTAGAGAAAGGACCAGACTGGATAGAATGTTGGGTTTTAGATTAAATAATTATTAAAGTCTAGTTTGAACTACTGAAACAGATACCTCATGATGTTGTAAATAATGATTTTGTTAATATTTTTAAAGGACACATTAAAAGGAAAAATCTTAAGTTTCTAACGCCTGTCCTTCTGGAATAAAACCTATACCAGAATAATATTTTGCATAACTTTGTAGTTCTATTTAAATACTTTATTTTAGTACCAAATAGGGTGTGATTTTAGCACTTTAGTTTACCTCTGTTCTGTATATTTTTAACAATAAAATTAAATGTATTCTTTATGATTTGTTTAGCTTTTAATTACGTTCACTCAGGGCTATCGTTGGGAGACCACGATGCTAGTTCTTGGTGCTTTTTGGCGTCAGCTTTTATTACAGTCAGTGCGCATTTTTGCCTTTGTCTTGCAAGGACACTGGTGTTAGTCACGCCAACTCGATCCATTTCTGAGGTGTGCTGCAGGAAGCAAAATACTGAAATTATTGTAAGACCAAATCATTCTCTTCCGGATTTTAAAATATGTAATCACAACATAACTCAGAAGTGAGGACAGAATTTCTAGAGTCCAATCGTTTTTTACTTATTTGCCATATATAGGGTGTCCCAAAATGTATACATACCCTTTGAATAATTATAAAGGCAGTGTTTATGAAAATGTCTCATTTTCATTTAATAGCTACCAGCTGTTGCAAACATTTCTTGCTCAGACTCAACAAGCAGACACAAGAAAATGACTTTGTAAAAGGGAGGAACAAGTCCATGACCTTTGGCTAGGAATAGCAAAAGTATGTTTCTGTTGTCATCCTGCCCACTGTGTGATGTAGGTTCTGTAAGCACTTCTTTAAATGAAGGCTGGCATCACGCTCAGGTGAGCTCTAAATGGAGCTTTCTAAAGCACATGGACTATTTTTGTTGATTAGCTTGAAGAGAACTTGTTAATATTGAAATTTCATGTATTATGGAGTTGAACAATTGAATATTGAATGTATTCGAATAGGATAGAAGGATTATTTTCCTGTTTTTCTTATTAGCATATTGGAGTGGCTTAAAAGATAAGTAAGAACAATTTTTTCCTTCTAGGGTGGGCATATTTTTGGATCGTTATCCCTAGTCATTGGGAATTCACTCTTTGTGTTCAAAAGTTTTAATTTTCTATATTCCAGGTGATTCATAGAGATTAGCCATAGTTCATTTAACAAACAAAGCCACTCAAACGAATAGTGTGTGTGTTTTTTTTCTTTCAGAAAGAATTTACGTGGTTACTTTTCTTAAAAACATCTTTCCCATTTCATTGAGGCAGATTTGGAAGTCAAACCAGAAACTTCAGGCTCTACTACGATGGAAAGCACTTCGTTGGGGAGAAGCGCTTTGAGTCCATCCACGATCTGGTGACTGATGGATTGATTACTCTCTATATTGAAACCAAGGCAGCAGAATACATTGCCAAGATGACGATAAACCCAATATATGAACACATAGGATACACAACCTTAAACAGAGAGCCAGCATACCAAAAACATATGCCAGTCCTGAAAGAGACACATGATGAGAAAGATTCTACAGGCCAGGATGGGGTGTCAGAAAAAAGGGTAAGCTACCGTGAAACCACACTTTATCTTCTTCTCTTTGGGGTCCTTATGAGAAAGTCACTACTGCCAGCAGAGATGGGCTGCTCCACAGTTCTTTGAAAGGATATGTGTTTTCCTTAATGTCTAGTTTCAGTGGTCATGAGCTTTACATATATCTAATTCATATTTAGTTAAAATGTTTCAGGTGTACTTTTGTACTCCTGTTTATTTCCTATTTTATCTGTTTCACAGTTTTAGAAATATTTCCTAGTAAAAAGGTTCAGGGGTTTTGTTCAGAAGCATAACTTATGGTCAAGAAAAGATAGCTATATTATATAAGAGATTGATTGTTTTTTTTATTTCCCTTAAAGATAATTCCCCATAGAAATAGTTCTGTTATTTATAAAAGTGATATGTGTCCATATTTTAAAAATATGTTATTAAATTAAGTTTATTAATAACTCATACTATTTTGAAATCAGGATTTATTCCATTGTGGACTCTTCAGAAATAATTGAATCAGGAAGATTTACTTTTATTAATTATAACAGCATTTCAGTTTTCATTCTTTAATTATAATCTATTTAAGGTTAACATCAGAGGTTTTCATTTCTTGACACTAAGATTTTTTTACTTTCAAAATTGTCCCTGGTTTTCCCTCCATTTCAAGAAAAAGGGTGAATTTCCTGATGTTTTATATTAGGGATGGGGAACGTATGGCCTGAGGGCCGTGTAAAGCCTGAGAAACCATTTTGTCTGGCCCTGCCAAGGCATTAAGGATGAGGCTAATTTTTAAGTTGATAATTTTGTATGGCCTGTGAATGATGTTATAAATATCCAAATATGACTTGGCATAAAAAAGGTTCTTCAATCCTATTTTATATTGAGAGGGATTTAGTTGGGGAAATTTTATTGGAATCATGTTAATTTGATATATTTTTGAGAATCTTTAGTTGCTATGTTAAAGAAATGTAGTATTGTGAGATCGGATTCTGTCATGAAATAGATTTATGTGCAGATTTTTCTATTTTACCAGTTGAGTGAATCTCAGCAAGTTACTTAACTTTCCTGTGCTTTGATGTACTTATATGTAAAGTTGTAAGAATAATAATAACGTTGTAAGGCTTGATTGAAGGAGACAGTATGTGTAAAATAATCTAACAGTGCTAGGCACATAGTAAGCACTCAATATGAATTTGGTGATAAGATTAGTATTATAACAACCTCAAGGCAGCATCATAAAATACTTTCAGTTATCTTGGAGTATTTAGGTACAGAATGGAAATTTAAAATGTTCATTTTCAGTCCAAATTTTAGTTTATGGCAGGTCTTATTGTAGCATTTTGTGGCTACAGAGAAACAAACATCTTAAATTATAGACTAGAGAAAATTTGTAGAAAATGGTTTTTAATTTACCCATATTTGTTAGGAACCACAAATCTTTTTGGGAAGTGACCAGAATTTAGAATCCTAAGAGCATGTTATATTTAATTTTCTTTTCACTCTCTAGTTCCCATTTTCTCACTTTGTTTTTTCCCCCCATTCATGACATTTTTCAATAATGCTTATATTTAGATATCTAATACTGTTACTACATTTTATGCAAATGTGCTTGAATATTCTAAGTCAACATTTGTGAAATATTAAAAAAATGTACATGGGAGTCTTTCAAAGTTGATCAGCCTAATGATAACTTTTGCAAATTTGTTCTCCATATACTTTTCATCATCAAGGAACTTAATCTTAAAAACACTTAGCTGTTTAACATTGGGCTAGTCACTTAACTTCTTGGGACCTGGATGGTTCCTTCCACACAGTGAAAATAATATTCATAAGTAGCAAGAGACTGAGGGAGAGGGTGCCTAGAGGACTCTTTAGCTCTAGCATTCACAGTTCCCTATGTATTCTGGCCACATTACATGTCACATTACCCGGGTTTTCTCCTTCTGATGGCCAGTGATAGCTACGTAAAGTGAAATGGTTGGCCCTGGAAAATTCCTCTCTAGTAGTACATAGTTAAGAATCAATTTAAGAAATACCCTTTGCTTTAAATTGCATGCATCTTAAATCTAGTTGGCTCAAAGTCTACTTATTCAAAAATAGATTTATTTTATTTACAGGTGTCATCCAACAGGACAGGGATGATGACCTGTTCAACAGCTTGAATCATTGATTCCCTGTCAGAGTGGATGACATTTGTAAGTAAAGACAATAACCTTTAACTATTTTAAGTACCTATTGACACAAGTATAGTTTAATAAACATTTCACTGGGTCCTGAATAGCTAAAGCCCCTCATGTTCAAGACTCCTTTTCCTTAGAGGCAGGAAGTGTTGCTTTGCAGGAGTTCGTGTGCTTTGGTGGAAAGGACACTCGTGTTAGTAAAGAGCTGGGTTCTACTAGTAGTTCTACAGGAATTGACTGTGTGTGTCACTTTGGGCACGCTCTTCACTTCGGGGAGACTGCATTTCCCCACCTTTCATAGGAGGGCTCTGGACTAGGTGATCCCCAGTATGGCTCCTTCAGTGTGTGATCCTCAAGGAGTGCAGGTGGTGTAGGAGAGATGACACAGTACCCGAAAGAGCGCATTAAAAAAATTTTATTGCTTAGTTCAGGTTAGGATTACTCAAGTCATTTTAATAGACTTTCTAAATTCAGAGTTTTGTTTTTGCAAAATGGCTTTTTGCCCTTCATGTAAAAGATTTGTTTCCAGACTACTTATTGCTGTAAAAATAAATGTTTCTTTAGGAATAAGGATAACCAAAAATTTAGGTTTATAAATTCATTAACTTTAGGGATAAATTAAAATCATCTACAATTGTTTTTCTTGGAATAATCTATGTCTTTAAAATCTACAAAACTTTTACATGAGAGAAACGTTTCTGAATTTGTTGAATATAGAAAGTTATGTATTAGCTTCCTATGTAATCATAACCAAGCTTGTGTATTCCTCTGAGTCACACTGTTCTAAATTAAGGAGGCTTTTTGAGGGGGAAGGATTTCCATAATTTCTATCTGCTGCATGCACAGGGGTGTTTAGCTGAAACTATTATTTAAAACAGAACTATTTGATATCATTTGGACATAATATTTTAATTAGCACGTATTTAAATGTGAATAGTGAATACCCCTTGTCTCTTGTAGGTAAAGCCCTCTCCCCATACCTTTGCCTAATTAATGAATATAATAGATTATTTTAAAATTTTTATTTTCAATCACAGTTAGCATTCAATATTATTTTGTATTTCAGATGTACAACAGGGTGGTTAGGCAATTACATACTTTACAGAGTGTTCCCCCAGTACCACCTGGCACCTACACAGTTATTACAGTATTATTGACTCTATTTTCTATGTGTGACACATGCTTTTATTTAAGAGCAGCATTCATAGTTACAGCAAAGGGTTTGATTTTGTTTCATTTTTTAAATATATATACATATATGTGATTAAATTCATAGTGATATTGGATTATAAACCAGTGTTTTTAATATTTCACTTTTAGTTTCATAAAAAAATATTTTAAACCTTTAAGCTAAAATTTTCTCTTTCTATGACTGAATACTTAAATAGTATCTTTAACATTTGATCTTATTTAAGACTCAAAAAGAATTTTGTAGTGCTGTATGCCAGTGTTTGGCCTTAACTTTGGAGCAGTCCACAGCATCTGGTTCAAATACTCTTTGTGCTGTTCCTTTTCTCTCAATTCCTTACTTTTTTGAGATGTGTTTTCCACAAAGATCTACCTTTACTCCTTAAATAGAGGCACTTATAAAGGAGCTTTTATTATGATGCTAGAGGCCCGGCGCACGAAATGTGCACTTGGAAGAGGGCATCCCTCAGCCTGGATTTCAAGAGGGCACAGGCCAGGCCGAGGGATCATACTGGTGTATGATCAGGGCCCGGGAGGGATGCAGGAGGTTGGTCACCTGGGGAGGGACTGTGGGAGGCTCCAGGGCATATCTGGCTCAATTAGCTCAGTCCCGATGAGCTGACCGCAGTAGCAAGCTCACCTACTGGTTGGAGCAGTTGAGTGGACTTAGCATTCATTAACATATTATGCTTTTGATTGGTTGAATGGATGACTAGACACTTAGCATATTAGGCTTTTATTATATAGGATTATCTCTTATGTACCCAACCATTCTTTTCCACACCCCCCCCCCAAAAAAAACAAAAAAACAAATAAACAAAAAAAACAATGTTTTCATTGGGCATCATCTTGGAACAGCTCTGGATAGTTGTCTTATGATTTAGTGATACCACTCTAAGCATGTCATTAACCTCCCTGGACCTGAGTTGTAAAATGAAGAACTCAGTTTTCCTGGATGACAGTCGGATCCCTTCTAGCTGTCACGATTCACTACCCATAAGTTCTCTTTGTTAACTCTCAAGAGGTTTTCAGACATAAGATTCTGTACTTCTGAGAACTTATTATTCGAAGAGGTAGAACAGGCTACAAACATTTAAGTATAGTTTTGGCTCTGCTTCTTACTAGGATTGAATCTTTGAACCAGTTACATAATTTTCTTTAAACTCGGGAAATTGAAGGCTCTTCTAGCTTTTCAGTATACATTGCTAAGGGTTGGAAAACTACAAATAATAACAGAAATAACTACAATTAGTAAGCCTCTGTATGTCAGAAAATATACTAGGTACTTTACTAGATTATCTACTTTAATCTTTATAGCATACTTTTGAGGGTAGGTATTATAACAACATGAGTATTTTGGGGGGACATAGATTTATGGTAAGTTACCTAGGGATTCTTGGGCTGTGTTTTAATAGTGTATCCTTTATTTTAAAAAATAAAATCAGAAGGCAGCCAGACCCTATTACCAAATGCCCCTTCCTTCATGTTATCATAAAAACTAAACATTAGACTGTGCTAATATTTAGACTAAGTGGGTCCCTGTATTTTGAGTAATTGGATTACTCCAAAGGGAGAAGTTAAAACATCCTGGAACTTGTCCAAAGGAAGTTGCAGCATGGTTCCAAGGGGGCATGTCACTCTAGAACTGCA